CATTGATAAGATATACGCACCAACCAATTTGGACTCTGTACTAAGGAGTTCACTAAATGGGACTGTATATGTGTTTCCTATTGGTTAAAATTACAACCCAGGTATGTCACTCTCCAGAAATGTAAACTCAAAAAGAAAAAAAACCACAAGACTGTAATAACATGGATGATCATTTAACCTTTTCTGGGTAGGATGGTTACAGCTCCACCACCTCTGACTTCCCACGCTCATAATACCTTTCATTTTTTGAAAAATATCTTTTCAGTATGATTGGAAGTGCTGCAGCTCGTCTATGGGGAAGAATATGTTGTGACACATGCAGAATATATTTTGCACATATTTTAGCTTGAGAATTTCTCTCTCAGTTCTGTGGTAATTGTTGGGGGGACAGGAGAGGATCCACCAATGGGCAGATACCCAGTCTCACTCTGATGAACTTGCAGAGCTCTAATGTTCAGCTTTGCATGTAGGCGCCAACTAAACTAGAGAACTAACCAGGTCAAATATGTCTGTAAAACATAAGCTTTGCCTACATTAGGAACTTTCTTACCTTGTTTTTCCACAGCGATGCAGCATGGGTGCTACCGGGGTAGAAGGTGTTGTGTAGATCAAACACAGGCATTTTTACCACCACATCATCTAACTCCCTAGGTGATATGCTGATTAAAGTGCTTGTGCCCAGTGTACACTAGAGCTATTACCATTGCTAGCAGCTGCACTGATACTGAAAAACACATTAGAAATTTGCTAGTAGAGATGTACTCAACAACTGTCTGCAATAGACTTCTTTATGAAACCTCCCACTGCTGCAACACTCTGGGTGCTGCTACACCAGCCAGTAGTGACAAGGGGAGTGTTAATGTAGACAGAGCTGAGGTCCTGGTGTTCTTAGCACCATGTCATCTATCTTCTGTGAGCAGCAGGAAAAATCCCATGGTTGGCACCAGTGCAGCCAAACCACTAGGAGACTTCTAACAAGAGCCTAGTGTAGACAGACCAAAGCCACGGCAAATCAATGTTGTTATAATGTGCTAGTGTTTTGGCTGTGCAGATGGAAAACTTGTTCATCTGTTTACATGTGAAATCCTGGCTGTATTAAAGTGAATGGGAGCTTTGCCATTAATTACAAAAGGGCTGGGATTTCACCCTGAAGTTAAAATGCAGTTTTCTAACATGGTTACAAAAAAATTCCTATCCACACAGGCAAGCATAAACCATGTTTATATTATAATATGGTCTGGCCACAAACCTTTTCAAACTCCTCTACTTTTGTAGAGTAGACACTGACTTTCAGTATTATGGAACAACTGTAGTTTCTTAGCCTGTCCTATCCCTAAAAATACAGTAGCAAATAACTTTATTGAGCTTAAATTTCCAGAGTAGTGTTATAACTCTGCAGTTCAGCTGTTGGAGGTGTCCTAGTATTTCTGTTAGAAGCCTCCCACACATTCACTTTTTAAAAACCTTCCCCTTCAGGGTTTTGTAACTCTTCCAATAAACTATTTACTGATCTCAGATTTGATTTGGAAAATCTACATCCTGAAGCAATCTTAAAATCACAAGCGGAATCCTTTGTTGTTTTCACAAGCCAGTAGTTTTTACTTAGAAATCTCTATGAATGTGCTGTAGAGAAGGAACTGCATTATTCCAAATGCTTTGTTTGAATGCTTTTTGATTAAAAGTAATTCTCTTGGCTTTCTACTTTATTGAACATCAAACAAGCTAAACTTAATTCTCTTTGCAATGAAAGGCTAAACTGAATCACTTTTTTATACTGTGCTAGTGTAACGTGGACATTTGTTAAAGATATTAGTTACAGTATAATAGTTTGAAAGATAAATTCCTAATCCTGCAGACAGAGCCCTGTGGTGAAGCTCAATGTAATGAAGTCAGTGGGACTGTGTGTAGGCTTGGTGTCTGCCCACACAAATCCAATTGCAGGATCAGAGTCTAAAGATGTGAGGGCAGAGCATCATCTGGTGTAAAATGTCATAGCTCCATTGATAACAATGACAGTTTACACCAGCCTATGCTCTGCCCCCAGAAGATGTCTGCGTTTCCCATTTTGCTACAAGGCTTTGCCTACCATCTCTGCCATAAAGATCAGTATTTCCCAGGGGTACATAATCCGCCGCTCAAGACCACACAGATACTTTGGGACGAGGAGATGAGAGAGATTCTTTTAGGTTAAATGTCTGGTCCAGGCTGAATGCAGTTCCTCCAGCTGTTCTAAGAATCTATAGGAGGAACTGCTGGGAAAGCTTGTACAGTCTCTAAGAAAATACTCATGGTTGAAAGACAGTGCTTGTAGAAGATTTGAATCGGGCTATTCTTTTCATTTCAGTGTATGGGCTAGGATTCTTTTGTCAGTATCATCTTTTTACACGTGTATTATATTGAAATTGTTTTTGTACTGGGAATAGATTGTCAGATTTTAAAAGAAAATCCTACTGAAAATTTTTTTAACAATTCATTGTTCAGTGTTGAATTGAAATAATTGATTAAAGTTACAAACGTGAATGCTCTTGTAGTTGAACTGGGGATGAGGGGAAAAGTATGTATTCCTTTATTGTTGCCACTGCTCAGATTATTCCTCATTTGCAATGATGGAAATGAGCATCTCAAAACAATTCTCTTCCAAATATAGTGATTTTATAGCTTGGTAACTTGTAATGTCAGAGCCTATAAGGTACAGCTTAGGGTGGTTCTTATCTGGATGTGGAATTTTATAAAGTGTTCACTGAATGCCAGAGTAGCTAAATTCACTGTCTGTAACACAACTTTCCCTCCTCCTTTCTGGTATATCTACTGTGAACTTTACACTCTAATCTCACCAATCCATTTTTCAGCTAGCCTTTGTAATTAGTGTATTGTGTAAAAGGGCAATAGAAAACTAACTAGTGTTTATAACTGCAGGTTGCTGGTTTGGTTGTATGCAGAGAACTATGGTTGTAGTTAGGAGAGCTGATTAGTCTATACATATTACATGTGTGCAAGGTATACATCTGTTGATTTAAACAGTCTTCACGTGGTACTCGTCACGTATAAATGCTGAGCTACACCTATGTTAAAGTTTAGCATGTTTGTGATCCAAACCTTTTTTTTTATAGTTCAGCTGTTAAATTCCCAATCCTGTTGTCATGTATTTCAATGGGAAAACCCCACAGACTTCAGTGCGGGCACCACTGGGACCTAATACTTTTTATTTTTACTCCCCGTTGCCATGAGTACAATTTCTGCCCAGTGTGTTTGCCCGTTTCTGCCCTGCATGTTTCCTACACTCTAGTATCTTCATTATTGTCCATCTCTACAACATTCATGTAACTAGAGTCTCTGATTTTATCTCTCATGCAGAGTTTTTTTAAATACAATTAAATTAAATTTCTACATACAAATGCAATATCTCTGTGTAAGTCTGATTTACTTTTCAGAGTTTAGGATTTCTTTCCTCAAACAAATGTGTAGCGTTATTTGTCTCCAAAGAGATTTTATCTTAACTTTTTTTGAGGGTTTTTTTTTTTGGTATTTTTATCCTAAAACTTGGAATCAGTTTAGAGCTGGAGTCAACTGCATATAGAAGAATGACAGAGCTTGGCCTAAACAGGTAGGAAAAGAATGTTTAGCTATTTTCCCTGTAAGTGAGAAAGTTGCCCAAACTATATTTAAGCTTTTAAAAAACCCTGAGCAAGCAAAGTATATCAAAGGAAAGCCAGGATGATGTCTCTATCTGATTGGGTACCAATGCCATTTTCAGGATTTCCTTCTCTCCCACTTCCACAAATCCCTTAAAGTTCGTAAGTTGGACTTGACTGGCCACATCCCCTGCTGGTGGGAATTGGCATAGCTCCATTTAAGTCAATGGAACTACTGCAGTTTCCCCGACTGGAGCTCTGGTCTCATGTCTTCATTGCTAGATCACCCACAATGTTATCTTTTTTGGAGATCACCTGCAGCTTGGGGGGGGCTTAATGATTTGACTCTTCTCCCCAGTTCCGTGGGACCAGGATTTCACCCAAAATATTGAAGTCAGTGGCAAAACTCCCACTGACTTCCATGGGGCCAGGATTTCACCTTCTCTGTCCAAGGTAGAAAGCATGACAAACCTGTGACTTAACTCTAAATTTAAATATTAAAGCAGCATTGGGCAAACCCAATAGATTTGATAGCATACACTTGGGACCAGATTCTGCGGGTGTGGGGTGGTCTTGGTGGCCTGCGATATACAGGAGGTCAACAAGATGATCTAGTTGGCCCCTCTGGCCTTAAACTCTATGATACCCTTACTCATGGTGAGTACTACTTTACTGGGCAAGTGAATCTCTCTGCTTTTCATTTGGCACAAAGTTTTACCTTACAGTGTTTCTTTTCGGGAGGGAAGCAAGTTTCTACTAAAAACTTCCTTGACCAACTGTTGGATTTAGAAAGATTTTTATTTATAACATACAACTCGTACTTCAAATTTTAGAAATCAATAAAATAACGGTTGCAATCTCGTACCAGTGCCTAGCTTCCATTCCCACAACTCTGCCATTGCTCTGACCGAAGAGTTAATTTTACATTATTTACATTAGAGCTGCAAGTGGCTGGGGGAGGAGTCTTGGTTTGTTTTTTAGTGAATTTAGTGCAAGTGAAATGTGCTGGATTGGCCAGCCTGGGTGACTGAAGTCTTCTGGATGGCAGAACTGCTGCACGATAGGCAGGCCACGGATACACTTTCCGTAAGCCAGTGGTTCTCAACCAGGGTCCGGAGCCCCCTGGGGGGCTGTGAGCAGATTTCACTCGCTCTGCCAAGCAGGGCCAATGTTAGACTCACTGGGGTCCAGGGTAGAAAGCCGAAGCCCTGCTGTGAAGGGCTGAACCCCGGGGCCCATCTGGGGCTGAAGCCAAAGCCTGAGCAGCTTAGCTTTGTGGGGCCCTCCTGGCGTGGGGCTCTGGGCAATTGCCCTGTTTGCTGCCTTCTAATGCCAGCCCTGGCTTTTATATGTAGAAAAACAGTTGTTGGGGCATTGGTGGGCCGTGGAGTTTTTATAGTATGTTGGGGGGGGGCTCAGAAAGACATTGAGGACCCCCGCCCTAAGCTACTTTGACATGAAGAGACCAATTCCAGGGACTTCAGTCTCCCAAGTCAGTCTTTCACTATACAGGGAGGCCAATTGTGGTGGGTTTTGTGCTGTGGACACTTATCCACTGTAAGCTGCATTAAAAGACCACGTGTCAGCCCTCACGTAGGCCACCAAACAGCTATTGGCCGGTTATGACTTTCAGCCACTACTGACCTAGGTCGATCTGAATGAGAGACCTAGTGATGAGAGGCTCCCTCACTCAATGCAAATCCAGTGAGCCCTCCCACCCCTACCCTATCAACTGTAAACTGCCTTCAAGAGACCCAGTCCTTGGGGGGGGGGTTAGTTAGTCACTTGACTGGTTGCTGCATTGCTGCCAAATCCTTTCCATGCCTGGAAGCTGAAGAAAGTGCTCGCCCCATAGGCTATCATCACAACGCAGGCAAAGAACTGAAAGAGAGCAACACAACAAAGCTCTGTTAGTTTCTCTGCAGCAGAGTATTATTAACACTTGACGCTAACGCTGCCCAGCACAGGGCTTAGAATCCTTGGCACTCATTTAGCTAGCAGAGCAGCAGCTGCCCAATAAATGCCTGGTCTGACGGATGCTTGGATTAGTGCAAATCCAGACAGGCATCTTGCCTCGGCACAAAAGGCAGGGATGGGCTCTACCAATGGGTCCTATTCCCCCCTCTGCCACTGACTCACTGTAGGAGCCCAGGCAAGTTACTTAACACTGTGTCAACTCCCTCCCCCCCCCCCCCCGCTGTGAAAGGGGGATCGTGTGTTTTAATATGTCACCTAAAGGAGGCGATGAGGCTCCATCCATTCCTATCCATAAAATGCAGGGATACCATCCAGTTTAAAATGGAAAGAATTTTTAAAAGTCAGTCTTACGATGCAAAGATCCTTTTAAAGAGCAGGAACCTGTGTCCCTCTACCAGACTTCATCTAGTGGTACCGCCTACGTGCGTGGCACGGGTAAGAAACCGGAGCCACTGAGCGTGACTGAAAGCTGCTTATTTTGATACTAGATCCACATAGGGCCCATCAATGAGAATTAGGCACCTGAAATACCTTTGAGGGTCTGGGCCAAAGTTCTCAAACACAAGTGAGACCCCTTGAGACATGGCCATTCCCGGAGCTGAGATTTCTAGCTGGGTGGAGCTGAAAGGCCCTTCTGAAGAGTTCCTCAGGATGCCCATCTAACCGGCTATAACAAAGTGGTTTAAAGCCTTTAATAATCTCATGCACGATGGCCAAGCAGGGTTCTACCAGCGCTTGGCTGGCCAAGGCAATGAGACCTATCAGAGTTAGGAGGAGGATGGTCTTTCCCAAGGTGGGGACCTAAGCTAGATGATAGTGTTGCCTAGGCTGCAGCATGATTTTTCGATCATGTTTTGGTCCCTGCATGCTGAGCAACCCATTTTTTTCCAAGGGTAAAATGGGGAAGGAGAAAGTGGCAGCTGTGGGAGAAGCAGGAGGACGTGAGGCTGAGCCTTGGGAGAGGAGAGCTGGTGCAGGAGGACGCAGAGGAGCGAGAGCTGCGCTGCACGGCTGCAGCTGGGTGACCCAGCCAAAGAGGCAGGGGCCTGGCAGGCATGCCTCATTGTTATTTATGTAGCAGTAGTGCCTGCCTGGTGAGCTAGGCATGGTCCAAGCACATGAGACAACCTGCTCATTGCCCTGAAGAGCTTAGTCTTTAAGACAACAGATGAAGGGTGGGGGAAAGGAAAACCCATCGCAGCATGATTGGGGGAGGGATGGCCTTGTTTGGATTTATTTTATTATAGTTTTTCCATGAACTCTTCCCCAGCTGCTCTCCTAGTGAACCAATATTAGCTGACCGATTTCCGGTAGGCATCCCAGCGGAAGTTGGGCTTGAGCAGGAATTTGCAGGAGAGGCTAGTGACCTGGTGTATCAGCCCGGGGAGAGGGGGGCTGTGGGTAGGCAGCAGAATGCAGGACAGCAGAGAGAGCCGTGGGAGAATCGGACAGAGCAAGAAGGTGGGCGTTTTGCAGGGGAGTGGGTGGGGAATAGTGCAGTAGGAGGAGATGCTGCAGAGCTGGGGTAGAGGGTCATCTCTGTGTGCTCGGGGAAACTGAAAGCCGTTGTTCTTTCAGCTGATTCTGAGACGCCACTAAAATGGAACGAAAGGTTTCACTGGGTTCATTAACTCATTGGTGACACCAGCAGGGTGGGGCCTCATGTGCCCGCCCGCACGGCACAGACCCTGTGTTGACACTAAAATCGCTCTGAGGAAGCAGGTCTTGCCAGGGCCAGCTCTAGGTTTTTTGCTGCCCCAAGCAAAAAAAATGTTGGCTGCCCCCCGTCCCAGCCC